TTATTTGGCTCAAAAAAAAAAAAAAAAACTACTTATTCATAACCCATTAAAAGTCCCTTTCAGAATTATTTTAAGTAGCCTATAAATATCTTGACTGTGTTATCCAATTTTTTTTTTCTTTTTTTTTTTGGTACCAGGGATTAAACTCACAACCTTGTACTTGCCAGGCAGGCGCTTATGCCACTGAGCTAAATCGCTGGCCTGTTATCTAATTTTCAAGGCCAGCCTGAATTGCACAGTGAGACCCTGTCTCAAAAACCAAACAAAACAAGCTAGGTGTGGTGGCACACTCCTATAATCTCAGCACTCTGGAGGCTGAGGCAGGAGGATCATTGAGTACAAAACCAGCCTAGGCTACAAAGTGAGCTCAAGGCCAGCCTGAACTGTATAACCAGATCTTGTCTCAAAAATACCAAGGGAAAAAAAAAATTTAAAAATAAGTAAAAATTTTAAATGCGCCCCAATACAAAACTTGCTAGTTTATAAAAATTGTGAGTTTAAAAGAAATTGTTGGGGCTGGGGATTTAGCTCAGCGGCATAAGCACCTGCCTTGCAAGCAGGCAGTCGTGAGTTCGATCCCCGGTACCGATAAAAACGAAAAAGACAAAAAGACAAAAAAAAAAAAAAAAAAAAAGAAAGAAAAAAGAAATTGTGAGTTTACTAAAATGGTATTATTGTGATTTTTCAAAAAATATAATCTGGGGGCTGGGGATTGAGCTCAGCTACATAAGTGCCTGCCTTGCAAGCAGGCAGTCGTGAGTTCGATCCCTGGTACTGACAAAAACGAAAAAAAAAAAAAAAAATATATATATATATATATATATATATATATATATATAAAAATAACCTGGTTAGGAGGGAATAAAGAGATTATAGAGAAAATATGGCCATGAACTTATTAACAAATTTTCTGTACTTCTGCATATTTTGAATTTTAGGGAAAAAAAACATATATCATATATCAATTTTCTGGCAAAATAGTTACCTGAGATTTAACTAATAATCTCATACTGCTCCAAAATATAGTCTGCCAAAAAACAGGTGTATACATACTTTAGCAGTTCATTGTACTAATAAATGTCTGGAAGCTAGTGACCACCACGCTGAACACCTTTGGTAAGTGTAGAGGCCAAAGGTAGCTTGTATTAATCTCATGATGTCTCAATAAATTTAGTATTTAAATATATGTGAGTTTTTCTATTCCTGATGTCTGTCTGTCTCTCTCTGGTACCAGGAATCATACTTGGGATGTTTGAACAATCCGAAGTTTCCTCAAAACAAAGTCAACATGCTCTTCAGAAAACCCTATTTTCTAACCTGTTCTATAGAAATGACTGGGTATTACTAAAAGGAAGTGTAAGATGTGTTATCCCTGCTTTCAATAGGTTCTCACTGCCTTCTTTCTCACACTCTACACATCATTCCAGTAGTGCAGAAAGAATCTAATCACACACACCAAGTAAACAATTTGTCTACTGCCTTTGTAAGACATCAGGATAGCGATACAACTATACAGCTAAAAAGACAAAAATAAAGCCAAGGGGGGCTGGGCATTTAGCTCAGCGGCATAAGCGTCTGCCTTGCAAGCAAGCAGTCGTGAGTTCGATCCCTGGTACAGATAAAAAGGAAAAAAAAACAGAAAATAAAAAATAAAGCCAAGGAAACAGGAAAGTATAACCCTTGGCACCAATCCTTTCCCCCCTTTTGCGGGGTGCGGGTAAAGGTGGAGGGGAGCTGTTACTGGGGATTGAATGCAGGCCTTTCAAAGTAGCTTCTTTTTTAAGCCTTTTTTTTTTTTTTTTTAATTTTGAGACAATTTAAAATCTTGCTACATTGTTAGGCTGGGCTTGAACTTGTGACCTCCTGCCTGGCTTCATTCTCATCTTTTAACTGGAGAAAAAATCTTCCTTTTTTCCACCATGAATAATAACAGCTCTACAGTCTTACCTATGCCTGTATCTGCTAATGCCAAATAGCATTCTTAGAAAGCAAAATATTAAGTCTACGAGAAAATAGTATAGAGACACAAATTATTGCCTCAGTTTTCTCTTCATTTCCTATGTCATTACAAATGACATTAAACTTACATTCATTTATTCACAAAATCTAAGCACCATAAGCTGAAGAACTTAACTTTCTTTTTTTACAGTTTGCTTTTGAGGACAGTTTTTTAAAATTCACATGTCGTACTACTTAAGGACTATTAGTATTCCCTCTCATAAAAACTAAGCCTTAAAGTCGGGTGTGGTGGCACACTCCTGTAATCCTAGCACTTGGGAGGCTGAGGCAGGAGAATCATTTCCAAGTTCAAAACCAGTCTGGGCTACAAAGCCAGCCCAAGGCCAGCCTAAACTGCATAGTGGGACCTTGTCTCAAAAAGACAAAAAAAGGAGGCGGGGGAGGAAGAAAAAAATGAAACTAAGCCTTATTTATATCTTCCCATAAAGATTAATTAGTACTAAAAAATTAAAATTCAAAAATTTGATGATGATATGATTCACTCCACTAAGGTGACAAAATTCAGTTCTAGACTGGTAACTTCTGAGCAAGCAAAAACTTTCTTGATAACCATGATCTTCCAAATGAAAGTAAAATTCAAACTAAACACATATTGTGGAGAGTATTTGCTTCTTTTGGCCTTAGGAAATCAAAATGAACCCCAGATACTAGATCTCAACAGCCTAAACATATTCTCCATTAGTCAAAAAAAAAAAAAAAAATCTGAAGACTACAACATTAAGAGGATTAAAATTTACTGAATACCTATCAAGGGGCAGGTAACTCTGTTAGGTTTGTATTTAAATGTCTCCCCAAAAACCTCAAGCAGTCATGGGGGGCAGACCTTTCAAAGATGGTGGAGTCTAGTGTCTAGCACTGGGATTGTTGGTGTGAGTACCATACTTGCCCAGGGGTGGGTAACTGGCATACAACACAAGGGAGCAAAGGAAACATGTTTTCCTTTTTTGCCTTTTTACCCTTTTTGGACTTGTCCCATATTGTGGGAATAAATGGAAATAAGGCAATATTCCAATATGGGAATATAATGGACAAGTTCAACTTCCAGCCCCCAAGATTAAACTTTATGGGAAAGAAATACATTATTTATACAAACATAAATTCTGCACTGAAGTGGCTGGACCAGATAGTCACTATAGTCCCTTACAACTTGTAAATCTTCAAAATTAACTCCAAGTGACCAATATCCATCAGCGTGGACACTATTTATATTCCATAATCCCAGTTAAGATACTTCATGATTAGTCCAAAGTACTCCATTAAAACTTAAATTTCTAGGACTTCTTTCTTGATTTCTCTAATCTTTTCTTTGTATCTGTTAACTTGTACTAAATTTTCACAACAGGTGTCTTCCCTGTCACTTCCAAAGTTTTAAAGATTTAAAACTGAAAATGACGACAATATTCTAATATCTTGCATCAGGCTAATAACACAATCCATTCCTATGTCTACACAAATGTAAACAAAGTATCTAACTATGCTCCAGTGATACTCACTTATTAGCTCTATCTGCCAAAGCTCACATGATCCTTGAAACTCAGACTGTTCCATAAAATGAACAGGTATGTATTTCAACACACTCAGGAAAAAAGTCACTACCAAATTCACAGTGATTATCTAGATTCAACTCTCAAACTAGACAGGAGGCTTTACAGGGTACTCAAAGTTTATGGTAAGTAAAATATTCATCAGATTAATCAAAACCAAAAAGAACTCGTTTTCCATTTCTTATAAAACTGCATCTGAATAAATATAAATATTTTCTTTAAATTATCTTCAGATTGAGACTTTGTAGGTATTTTTTTGTTGGTACTTTAATAACCACAATGTCATTAAAGTCATTATGAGCCGGGTGTGGTAGCCCACACCTGTAATGTCACACCTGGGAGGCTGAGGCAAGAGCTGATCACCTTGAGTTCGAGGCCAGGCTGGACTACATAGTGAGTTTAAGGCCAGCCTGAACTACACAGCCAGACCCTTGCTCCCCCTACACATGAAAAAGTTATTATCATGAGCCCTTGGGAGTTTTCAAAAAGGAATGAGGGGCCTGGGGATTTAGCACAGCGGCATAAGCGCCTGCCTTGCAAGCAGGCAGTGGTAAGTTCGATCCCTGGTACCGATAAAAACGAAAAAGACAAAAAAAAAAGGAACGAGGCCAAGGATATAGCTCAAAGGCATAAGCGCCTGCCTGGCAAGTGTGAGGTTGTGAGTTCAATCCCCATACCAAAAAAAAAGGAAAGATGACGTGAATACAGTCCAACTTTACAAGGCACACGAAAAGGAAATTAACAGTTGCTGCTCCTGGTTTACTATCACCACCCAATCTTCAATTTTCCTAGGCCTCACTCAGGTATAAATGAGTAACTCTGTCAGCTCTCCCCTCCCATGATGCTGTGTGAACTCTCCATGTCTCTTTCGATTAACTGCTGGTTATTTCAGTGCTCGCGTTTTTTACCAACAGGGTGGGAGAAGGGACAGCTAAGTTATCTTACTCTTCTGTTTCCATTTGGTGCAAAAGCCTGAAATTAAACCACAACATTTAACTTGTTTAATTTCTCAAACCAACTCTATAAATGGCCACCGTAAATGAGTTAATGTCCCTTGCGTTCCCCAACCTCAAAAAGGCAGGGGTTTCCAGACTTAAGTTTAATTTCCAACTTGCTCTTCCCGCTCCCACAAGGCGATCAGGACTGCAGCGTTCGCATGTGCCACCAGCCGATGCTGCTGTCACGGCTCGTCGCCGGCTGGCCAGCTGGATCCAGGCGGGAACCGGACCCTCTGCGAAGGGCTGAGGCCGGGCCGCGCCGCGCCGCCCTGCAGAGTGGTCCAGCGGACACGCTGCCGTCCCCGGCCCACATGGCCGGCGAACGCAGCGAACGAGGGTGCGGCAGGCCCCGCGCGCCAGTACGCACAGCTCGCAGGCCCAGGAAGCAAACAGGCCCCGTAATCCGCCCGCGCCACCCGTCGCCACGGTCCGCGCCCACCTTAACGTCCTCGTCCTCGTCCTCGCCTTCCCAGCGGTCCCCGCCGGCGGTGCCGCTGCCCCCCACCTTCCGCACCGGGTCTTCCACGGTGTCTGCGTCTAAGGAAGAGAGCAAGCAGCGTCAGTGCCGCCTGTGTGGGAGTGCGGCCGGCGCCAGCCTGGGCCCTGCGTCGGGAACTTCTGCTCACCCCAGGAGTCAGAGTCCCCCGCCGCCGCCACCGCCGCCGCCGCCGCCGCCATCTCAAGCCGGGCGTGAGCGTGTGTGAGGGAAAAGCTGCGAAGAGTTAGAGCGCCCGAGGTGAGTCACTGAGTGGCTCTCGGTGGCCCGCGCAGGGCAGGCTGGGACTGTGGCTGACTCCGAGCTCGGAACGAGGCCCCGCCCCCTACGGGGGCGTCGGCGACGCTCCAGAAACAGGGGCTTGAACCGCGACTTGAACCGCGGCTCCCGGGGCGGACGCGGGGCGTGGCGGGGCGCGCGGGCGGGCCCCGAGCCTGAGCCTGAGGATGCGGACGTAAGGGCGGAGCTGAGGACCAGGCGGCGAGTCCAGTCGCTTTTGGGACGGGACCTCTGCTACCCTACTGTAGGCCGCAGGAACAATAGAGAGCGGAAGGGCAGTCGAGAGGCCTCGGGCCTGACGCCCAGCCTTCGCGCCCTGGTCGTCGCTTTGCCGAGCGCGCCCGGAGAATCTCTCGGCCCAGTCCGCGGTGGCGCCGAGGAGGACCTGACCTCTTCAGGACCCTCTTGGCAGAGTTCTCTAGACGCCCGCCCACGTGGGCGCCCCGAGGGGCGAGCTGAGAGGCCCGCGCGTGGAACCAGACAGGAAGCCAAGGAAGACGGCCCCTGCCTTCGCGCTGCCCCCTCCGGCCAATTCTGTGGGCCAGCACACTGATTCTTTTCTTCCGCAAAGCAGTGTCGGAAGTCTTCATTTGGTGTGTATTGGGCATGAGCTGTCTCCTCATACTCAACCAAGCAGTTGGATGTATAAACAAACTGACACAATGCGGTGTCTACAACAGAAAGCAGTATTGTGAGGTTACCTGTGAAAAGGTAACAGTAAGATTGGAGAAAGGGCTTCCTGAGATGGGCGCCGCTGAAACGAGTTTGAGAGACCAAGTGAAACATGCCCGAATGCATTTCCACCGGAGTCCATGTGTGGTCCTCACCTGAAGGGCACAATCAGAAGTTAACCAAGCTGGTGAATTGACTGCAAAGAGCTAAAAAGGAGTTATCCTTGCACTTTAGGTTACTGTATTCCCTTGTAGGATTTTAAGGGACGATTTATTTTAGATTTTTTTTGTTATCTTAATAGTTTTGGAATATGTCATACACATACTTTATACAACTTCCAAGTTTTTAAAAGCATGAAAAGCATTGATTTATTTATCCATATGATAAAGGAGGGTTGAGAAGCAAGATAGAAATAAAGGAAAGGCTGGAATATAAATCCCTGAGGGCACCATAAATGTATCTTCAGTGTTGGCCATTGTAAATATTTTATGAATGAATTTTTTTCAGTGCTAAAGAAAAGCACCACCATTTGAGACAAAGGCATTTACCTGGGAACCACACCCCCAGCCTGAAAGAAATAAGAATTAATACTAAATACAGTGGCAATGGAGAAGAAAGAACCAGCTGAGAAATAGTTTATGATCAGAGGCAACAGAATTTAGTGACTGTAGTAGTTTTATGTATCAGTTTGTTAGGCCATGATTCCCATTACTAGTTTTTAATCAAACACCAGTCTATTTGCTGTGAATGTATTAGTTACATGTAACATTTAAATCAGTAGACTTTGAGTAAAGCAAATTATCCTCCACAGTGCGTATGAGTACAGTTAGTAAAGGACAGCACCCTTTAATAAAAAGAATTCTGCCTCCATTCTGTAACAACAGATTCCCCTTGGATCTCCAGCCTGCTAGCCTGCCCTACAAGGTTTTAGACTTGCCAGCACCTGCAATCATGTGAGCCAGTTCTTTAAAATAATATTTTTCTGTATACACATCCTATTGATCTGTTTTTCTGAAGAACTCTGATGAAAATAGACTATAAAAGATAACAGACTTCAACATTTAAAAAGCTGTCAAAATCAGATGTAGCACACACCTGTAATCCTAGCTTTTTTTTATCTTTTTCCTTTTTATCAGTACTGGGGATCGAACTCATGACTGTAATCGAACTCACAACTGCCTGCTTGCAAGGCAGGCACTTATGCTGCTGAGCTAAATCTCCAGCCCCCTTTTTATTTTAAACTGGGGATGTATCTCAAGAGTGAAGGCCCTGGGTTTAATCCCCAGTATTAGGGGAAGTGGGAGGGAACAAAGGAGCACATAGGAAAAAGATATATAGTAAATTTTAAAAATTGCTTTTGTATGCCCCCAATTGTACTCTGTGTATATCCATATATATAAATTTTAAATAGCGTACATGGGATATATTTAAAAATTTACTGTGTGGATGTAGGAGACCTGGTCATTCAAATGATTATGTTTTATTGAGCTGAACACTGGACACTGCTGATATGTAGAGGGAGGAGAGCTCTCAATGTTATATTTTCTCCTTTTCTGGAAATTTCCCTACTATCCAAGAGTAGTTGGACTCCCCAAAGCCATGTCTGCTGACTTTTTTTTTTTTTTGTCTTTTTCCTTTTTATACGTACTGGGGATTGAGCTCACGATTGCCTGCTTTCAAGGCAGGCGATTATGCAGCTGAGCTAAACCCCCAGCCCCCATGTCTGCTGACTTAACAAAGATTTACTATAGCTGATCTAGAACAGGTTGGAAGTATATTAGCTGTGAAGTTAGTGAAACTTTAGCTTCTGGGCCCAAAAAACATTTTCTAAGAACCAGATCCCCCAATTGTATATGTTTTAAGGAATATACAGTCTAGATTTGTTCCTAAATGGAATGTAAGTCACCTGTTAGAATCACCAAATTCTGTGGTAACTAATCCCTAAACGCCAATAATGGCTCAACAGTGAACAGTAAACAAGCACTATGTGGTCTCTCCTTGAGTCTGCATTAACTCTTATGTTTTGGTTTTTTGAGATAAGGATTGGTTGTGTAGTCCAGGCTGGCCTCAAACTCATAGGGATCTTTCTGTCGCACTCTCCTGAGTGCTGAGATTACAGGCATGCACCACCACCCCTGGCTCTATGATTTATTTTTAAACAATAGTGTAGGAGTGACACCCAAGCCTAGGCTATAATAAGACTTATATCCTCCACCTGTACCTTTAGAATGTTCTAGTGGAACCAGCAGCCATTCATGAACTAGATACAATAACTCATGCTTATAATCCCAGCTACTGAGGAGTTGAAGCAAGAGGATCAGTTTGAGCCTATCCTGGGCAATTTAGCTGCTGAAGAGATTTCTCAAACCATCTCACTTCCTCTTGCTTTCCCCAAGTTTCAGTTTCCTCTTTTCCTCAAATGCCATGAACTAACTTAGTATCTTTCCAATGAATTCTTAACCTCAGCTACAATTCTTAACAAATACATCCTGTAGTGTAATTGCAGTTAAGTGGAAAACAAGTGTGGTGACACATGCCTGTAATTCCAACACTTGGAAGGTGGAGACATGAAGATCCATACAAGTTCAAGGCCCGCTTCAACTACGTAGCAAAAACCTGTCTCCAAAAAAAAAAAAAAAAAAAAAAAAAAAAAGAAATATATATAAAATAAAATAAATCAGGCCAGGGATTTAGCTCAATGGCACAAGTGCCTGCCTGCCTGGTAAATACAAGGTCATGAGTTCAATCCCTGGTACCAAATAAAATAAAATAAAATAAATCCTGAGAGGGTAATACTTTGCTATTCTTAAGTCTGTGTTTGACAGATAGTAGACACAGTAACTATAGGTTGACCATAGAGTTGCTATACAGAACTGGTTTGTTTTATAAAAAAAATTTGTCTACCAGGTCACTGTTTCTCTTCATGAAAAATAATTTCAAGGCAAACAAATACAGCACAAAGCAGCAAATCTCATTATTACTAGTAAGCTTCACTGTATGGTAATCTGAACTGAGAAATAATAAGTGGTTTTTGTCACATCCATTTATCCCGAGGTGGAGCTTCAGGAAAGCAACAATTTTATTTTTCTAATGAGGTAATGTAGCTATTTGTATTAACCTGACCAAAGATTGTTAAAGGCAACATATCTTCTTAAGAATTTAGGGCCATAGGGGCTGGGGATTTAGCTCAGCAGCATAAATGCCTGCCTTGCAAACAGGCATTCGTGAGTTCGATCCCTGGTACCGATAAAAACCGAAAAAGACAAAAAAAAAAAAAAAAAAAAAAAAAAAAAAAACCTAAAAAAAAAGATTTTAGGGCCAGAGATATAGCTCAGCAGCACAGCACCTACCTAGCAAGCGCAAGATCCTGAGTTCGATTCCTGATACCCCACCCCCAATTAACAAAAGAGAATTACAAGGAAGGCAGCCAGAGAACAAAATTTAGGCCTGGCCATGCACGCCTATAATCCCAGCACTATGGAGCCTGAAGCAGAAGGATCCCTGTGAATTCAAAACCATCCTGGACCACAAAATGAATTCAAAGTACCAAACTGCATAGTGAAACCTTGTCTCAAAAAGATCAAAGGTCTCCAAAAGGAAAAGGTAAACTGATCTATAGATTCTCTTCCATTCTTTGTGATGCAGGAGGAACCAGTGGCCAGGTATTTACCTACAAGAGATGAGAGCATCATGTTGACTTAATATTGGCTACAATTCACTTTCAGTAGACAGACTGTGGTTCTACTCTTCCTAAGCAGGCATCTGATTATGATTTAGTTTGAGTTTACTGCTGACAGTAAATGAGTAAAATTGAAATCTGGCTTTAAAATCAGTGTATTGTGATTTGCTTAGTGTGCTATCATTCTGGATGCACATAATCTATTTTTTGCACTTACAAGTCCAAATTTTGAAACGAGGGCCCATCCATTCCTTTATTAAACAGATGAGGGGGCTGGGGATTTAGCTCAGTGGCACAAATGCCTGCCTGGCAAGTGCGAGATCATGAGTTTGATCTCTGGTATCAAAAAAAAAAAGATATAAACACATTATTATTCAGTGCCTATGATCTACAAAGTGAATTTTTTTTTTTCATACTGGAGATCAAACTCAGGACCTTGCACTTGTCAGGCAGGTGCTTGTGCTGCTGAGCTATATCCTTGTACAAAGTGATTTGAAGGCCTTGCCATATTAACTTTACACTGTTAAACCAATACAATTAAAAATGGGTTAAAGGGATTAAAGATGCTGGGCTCTATATTCTGCAACACTGATAGAAGTTTTTGATGTGGAAATTGAGATCCATAGTATTATGCATATTGCTTTTTCAAATGAAGCAGGGAAACAAGTGTCTAGATGTATGTACTAGACCTTGACTAACTTGTTACTTAGTACGGTAGTCCTATAATCACAAATAATAGTGTGGTCATCCCTTCCTATGGAAGATTGCTCTGGTTCAACATAGTATACACCCTGTTAATACCAAAATCTGCAGATGGTCATGTCCCTTATGTAAAATGACATAGTGTTTTGTTTTGTACCAGGGATGAAACTCATAATCTCATGCTTGCCAGGCAAGCACTTGTGTCACTGAGCTATATCCCTGGCCTCTTTGTTTTTGTTTTTTGTTTTTCTTTGATACTTGGGATCAAACTCAGGATCTCAGCGCTTGTTTTTGTTTTTTGAGACAGCGTCTATGTAACCCAGGCTGGCCTTGAACTTGCAGCCATCCTTTTGCCTCAGCCTCCCAAATTGTGGAATTACAGGCATGCCCCACCACATCCTGCTGACATAGTATTTGTGTATAATCTATATTGTTATAATGTTATATTGTTTAATCATATCTAGATTATACTTAGAATATCTAATACAAAGAAAATACTGTGTAAGTATACTATGTTGTTTAGAGACTACAGACAATTTATACATCTTCAATATAGGTGCATTTTTAAAAGATATTTATTTTTGAGACAGGGTCTCACTGTATAGTACAGGATGGCCTTGCAATTGCTATGTAGCCTATTCTGGTTCCAGTCCTACTATGTAGCCCAGGCTGGCCTCAAACAGCAATCCTCCTGCTTTAGCCTCTTGAGCACTGGGATTACAGGAATGCTCCACCATGTCTAGCACATTTTTTTTTTTCAAATGACAGTTGAATCCATAGATGTGGGAACTACAAATATATTGGATGGACTGTATCCCTATTTTTCAAATTAGTGGAGTAGATGAGAAAATATGGAACAAATTAACACTAAAACTTTCTCAGGCTTAGGATGGAGCTAGTGGTAGAGCATATGTCTAGCATGCATGAAGTCTTGAATTTGATCCCTGAAAGTGCAAAAACCAAAAACTAAAAAGCTTGTTCTCAAGGTATTTCATTATTAAAGTTTTTTTTGTTTGGTTTTTTTTTTTTTTTTTTTTTTTTTGGTCTTTGTCATTTTTTACCGGTACCGGGGATCAAATTCACGACTACCTGCTTGCAAGGCAGGCACTTATGCCACTGAGCTAAATCCCCAGCTGCTATTAAAGGTTAATGAGAGTAAATGACAGCAGAAAGGAAGCCAAGGCGATCAGGGCTCCTTTTAGGAAGTTCCTTATTTAAGCATCAAACTCAAAATCTCAGATGAAATAGGTACAGGCTGAAGAGCAAGTTTTGCTTGTAAACAGGCTTTGACCATCCACTTTGACACTAAAACTGTATTAACCATTGGTTGTATTAGAAAAGGGGATAATTTGCATTGAGAGGTGTAAAACTTGTAACTGGTGTCCCACCAACCCACTCTATATCCCGTATGGCAACCAGAGTGGTCTTCAAATAAATCTTACTCTTCTGCTTAAACATTTCCTAAGTCTATCTGATTTTTCAAATAGTAGGATCTCTACTTAAACACTAGTTCTCTTAAGCCATTCTTCATGATCCTTTTCCCTCTACCTCTGGATTGTAAACTTAGTAGCAGGGTCAAGTTTTGCTTTCTTTTGCCATTCAAAGTTTGGCTTAGTAGCTTAGTAGTGACTACCACTTGCTAATAAGGTAGGTTTTGCTTTTGCATTTTTATTTTGGCAGTGCTAGGGGTGTGGTAATCATCAGTGGATTAGTCCTGAGTTCATAGCTAAATGACATCCTAGTAGGAGGTGGGTTATGGTGGCAAGTACTAGAAGGGCCAATGTAACCTCTCCTGTGCCTCTCTTGACTGAACCCAGGACCTTGTGCGTACCAGGCAATGCCCCACCCCCAAACCAAAGTAGTATTATCAAAATGACTTTACTATCATTACAAAGGCTCCACCCGACGTTAAAGCATATATGGCAATCATTGTAAGAGTCTAGTTCACTTATCTATTACTAAAGGACTTATAACTTGGCAAATCTCATGTAACTTGCACTTGCTACACTTAGCACTTTTGAGACAGTCTCGCTATGTAGTTTAGAGACCTCGAGATGATTTTACTGCTTCAGCCTCCCAAATGTGGAGATTACAAGTATAAGCCACCACACCCAGCTATTTTTAAAGCCACTCAATACTCTTCAGTTTATCACCAATTTTCTTCTTAATGCTATTTCAACAGATCTGGGTACCCTCTCCATTTGCTGTTGCATACAACACTGCTATATCTTTTTTTTTTTTTTTTTTTGGTCTTTTTCGTTTTTATCAGTACCAGGGATCGAACTCACGACTGCCTGCTTGCAAGGCAGGCGCTTATGCCGCTGAGCTAAATCCCCAGCCCCTAACACTGCTATATCTTAAGAACTTATGCCTAATATCCTTATCCTATTGTACACACAGCATTTTCAAGCATGTCCCCAAACCATCTTTCTTGTTGCTGAGAAGATGCAACACTCAACACCCACAATTTAGAGAATTATTTTGGCTCACATTTCAGTCTCTAGTTGGCTGGCTCCAGTGCAGAATGGCATGGCCCAGATAAAGCAGCTCTTGAAATAGTAGCTGGGAAATAATGAGGGCAATAGTCCTCTAGGCCATGCAGCCAGTAATCCACAGGCTCCACTTCCCAAAATCACTTGGCTATGAACGCTTCAATACAGTTGTCCACCAGTGATTACACCTCCATGATCTGATAATCCTCGAAAAACCCTATGAATGCATTAGTTTCTGTTGTTTTGGAGAGGGGAAGTATATATATCTGGATATAAACTAATACTCCATGTATAGTTTTTCTCATCCCTTTTATATCACCATCCTTCAGAAGACTATGCACATATTCATTCTGGCTATTCATATATTGCTTACCAGTTTTATAACATGCTGTTTCATTTTTATAATTCTGAAAGGTAATCTTAGTACATCTATTTGAGACACTAAAACTCAGGCAACAACTACTTTTTTTGTTAACTGGCTGGTCCGCAAGGACTTAAATTCAGATCTTTTGACTTTCACTTTCACTAATCATACTCCCAAGTCAGTTCTGTTCTTGAATTGCAATCATCTAAGTGATGTGTAAACTCTGTATTATCAATTTCCCTTGAACTTAAGGTAGTTCATCAGAGATCAGGGGGCTGTTTTATACCTGGTTATACTGGCTCAAGTTGGCCTTCATGTCAAGTATGAATTGTTCTTTTCAGCTATGACCTGAGGTTTGCCATCTTATCTGTATTTTGTAAGTTTTCTTTGGTTGGTATGGAAATTGAATTCAGGACCTTAAATATTTTTTCCCCCCTCAGCCCCTGTATTTTAAAAAACCAACCTTTTATTCAGGTTGGCCTCCCTGAGTATTCTATCTTGGCTAACAGGGTCGTAGACTCTAGGCCAAGCTCTCTCTTGGAAACTTTTCTAGATCAATTTCCTTTGTAAATTAAACAAGTACACATAGAAGCTAGAATTTAATCGTTTTAAAACTGGATTGTCCCCTTAGGCCTCACTTATTCTACATCCTTTGTATAATACTTTGTGATGTAAACTGATTTACAAACTTGAGAAAGCTTTACTCATGTACTAACATGATTACAAAATTATTTCAAGATGACATACTTGTAATCTCAGCACTAAGGAAGCTAAGGCTGGAGGATCACCAAAGGTTGTAGGTGAGACTGAACTGTGGTGATACCGTCTAAAAAACCAAAAGGAATGTCAAGGCACAGGAAAATAAGTATTAAAGTGACAATGGAATTGAAGTCTCAGAATAGCTGCATGGTCTTTGAGTCACAGCCCTCTCTGACTTTTTTTTTTTAAACTGGCTTTTCCTATCTGACCCCACCCTATATAGTTTGTACAAGATTGTCTTGTAGATGTGAAAAAAGTGTGAACTTGTAAACAAAAAAAGAAACACTATACAAATGTAAGTTGTTAGAAATTATATTGTTTCTGATGGCTGATAAATATCATCAAAGAAAAGTGCTTCCATAAAAGTTTTATTTATCCTCACAACAACCCTGTGAGGTAGGGTGATCAGGGCATTTGAAGATGAGAAAACTAAATCTACATTACTTGTTCACGGCTACTCTGCATAGTAAATAAGTAGAAATTAAATTGAGATTTTTTAAATGTCCATAACTTTATACTGATTCATGTGGAAATGGGTAGAGAGAATTTATAAGATTCTCCTCCTACCTTAATGCCAAAGGACACCCTTGAAAAATCCCATTTCAAAAAAGGAAAGTAATATTTCATTGCTTATTTCTACAAAGATTCATGAAATAAAAAAATAGTGAAATATTTTACAGTTTATATATATATATATATATATATAAAATGGTCTCATTCAGGGACATGTCCTTCAGCTGTATATTTATGATCAACTATCCAAGTCCTAGAAATGCAAACTTTAAAAAAAAAGTATGAAAGACAAAAATGATAATGAGCAGTAGCCTCAAGCTTATTATTCCTCCATGTATCTTAAATTCAGTGGAATCTGGTCCCCGTTTAAAAAATAAAAATAAAAGGGGGGAAATAACTACCAGAGGTCTGGTAAATTTTTTTGCCTACTCTCAAACCACTGACATTACTAAAACATTATTTCCCAAACCTGACTTATTAGTATCACCAGCAAAAGCTCTGTTTTCTCACACAACACTCAGGTCCCCACTCTAGACATAATGAAGATTTTCTAACAGTAGGTTTCAGTAATCCATACCTTAAAAAGCTTTTCAGAGTAATTCTAATAAACAGGTTTGTGAACCACTGATGTATCTTAGAATTCTAGTATCAAAATGATTAATTAGCATAAACTTGTTGCGCTTTTTATTCCCCCTTTAAAAAAAGATCTTAAAATGTGGTATATCCTAAAGAACTCTTGCCTCTCAGCAATTAATTTCAAGAGACAGAGAAAAATTTCATAAAAATATGTACTACTGGGGTCGGGGATTTAGCTCAGCGGCATAAGCAACTGCCTTGCAAGCAGGCAGTCGTGAGTTCGATCCCTAGTACCGATAAAAACCGAAAAAGACAAAAAAAAAAAAAAAAAAAGTACTACTTAGTGAGACTTGGACTCCAATAATAATTTGAGTAGCATTTAAGTATAAGATACAGTATTATGGTTCTTATTCTGAAAATTGTATTAATGAATTTTGTATAAATTCCTAGCAAGCTTTCAACTCAAAAGGAGGCATGAAAAGTAATGACATAATCAATTACATCAGTACTAAAAAATACTATACTCAAATACAACTCATGAGAGGAATAAGAAAATGAATGAATGACAACCCAAGGCCTTCTGGCCCATACATTTTTGTTCCCAGTCTACTCTTCCCCTATAAGGGGAAATCAAATAAAACATTCTTTCCTAGTTGCTTGGCATAGTTATTCAGTGGGTAACTATTAACTAATTTAGGTACAGGAGATTGAAAGATAACAAATAAATATCTAGGAAGACAGAGAAGTCAGGTCAGAAAAACTTAACTAGCTAATGATGTAATATATAACACCATCATATTAGTACAAATAAATGAAGGCTTCAGTGTCCTTTACATTTCAGATTTTATGTACTGACTCAGATGTGGAAGAGACCTGGTCTTTATGAAGAATTCTGTGCTTGCTGGAAAGATTTGTAGTAATAATGAAATACTCTTCTTCAATGATGAGATGAAGTCTCTTTTTCAGGCAAGTTGACAACAAAACAATGAGAAACAAACTTCTTTAGAATGTTGAATGAAACATCTAGCTGAAAAAGTCATTGGCCAATGATAACTTAAAAAAAAATTCTATGTTAACCCTAAAAAAAAAAATCCCAGAGAAATATATATATATAGATATATATATTAAAAACAATGTACACATCCATTTCACTGACAGTTATCAGAAAATAGCCATTTATAGATGTTACACAATACTTTCAACAAATCCCAAATTAATTTTGGGAAACAGATAAAGCCATTGGGTAAATAAATACACATACTAACTAATATAAAACAATTTATGATTATGAAGTCTCATTAGTTCTATTTTAGGACTCAAGGAGAAATATGGTGATAAATCTAGGGCTACATTACATGAAATTAAAAACTGATTAACAACAATTCTAGCAACAATACAAACATTTAAAAGAATCTCTTAAAAGTCAGACATTTATCCCTGGACATAGCACAAGGTGAGTATGTCCTTCAGAGTTGTAATGTTTGTACAGGTAACTTGCTGTGTTTCATCATGGATCCACCTCTCCTACATTTACTACAGTTAGTTTTTTAAGACTTCATGTTTCCTGTGTGATCTGATGGGCTGGGCACATCAAGTAAAAAAAAAATATACACTTCCGATTAAATGGAAGTGTTTAACATCTATCAAAAGACAAAAGAGGAAATAGGAAGATAAAACATTAAAGTAGAAGGAAGCTGACTGAACTTTCTCTTTATAATTTATTATTATATTAACAATTTAAAAATTTCTCAAATAATGTAATGGGAAAAATATACAATTTTTTTTTCTTTACAGAACCTTGTTATGCTTGATTCATTTACTTAAAGGAATTCTCTTGGTATGGGGCTGAAAACAACTTTACCATTAATAAAAGATGAATAATTTTTTTTTGGCACAAAAGATGATTAAATTTAAAAGTTGCCTTTTTATTGTTAAAGTGGCACAAGGTATTAGGTGCTTACATTTCCCTTTAAGTTACGGGAAGGCCCTTTGAGACTCTTACTTAATCAGGAAAACTTTCAGCAAATATGATGCATGCTGAAAGTTCAGATCATAGGTTTTGCTGTTTGAGCATAAAAAGGAAGGGAACAAGGAATAAATGTAACTAGGTTCACAATTTTGAGCAAGAGCATATGTAAAGGTAACGTATGTACATTTTATTTCAAGAAAGACATAGACAAACAGCATAAAGATGCCCAGATGCCCTAAAGATAAATACATTTCAAAGATTCTCATTAAAATGAATCTGTAGTATTTTTTCCTGCAAGCAAAATACCTTTCTTTAAATTAAAAAAAAAAATCAGTTTCTGAGTTGCAAATGCTTTTGCTTTTTTTTTTTTTTGCAGAAAATCTGCCACGATTATTTTTTAATGAATAAGGATTTTCCACAAAACAGGCTTGTTCTACATGCTAGATCTTTAAACAGTTCAGTGACACAATATGCTAACTACATACACAACAGATAATATAGTAAGAAAACACTCAACCTGATGAAAAGTTAAAATCGTCATTAATACACTGAAAACTGACATAACTCATGCCTTTAAAATCAAAAATACAAAAATTAAATGTTTTCCTAAAAAGATTTCCTTATTTTAAGGATTCATTTGAAAATGAAGCTGCATGTAATTTGTACAATAAGTTGTACAAGTAAACAGGTAATATACATAAAAAATTAACTGACATACTCCTTAATTATCAGTTGTCCACCTTTAATTTCCAATACTGTACTTTCTTAACAAGCATACAAAATATCAAACTTCTCTTTAGAAAAAGTGCCGTTCTTTGACATCCTTTACACAAAAACAGTCTGAGCCTGTGGCATGTTAATGCAGTTGAGAGGCAAAGCATACTTTTACAAATTCTACCTTCCATAAAAAGCCTCCCAGAAAGATTACACGCCACTATAAAAATATCAACCTCTTGTGGTAGCTGCATTAGAGAACCACGGCTTGAAGACCATTTTCATATAGCATAGAAAACCACTACGAGAGCACATTAACTGCATTGGTGGCTTGGAAGGGTACTGTGCCACAGGATTATGCATAGCTACTGTTAGGTACCAAGCTGTTACACAAAGTTTTAAATTGATTGTAACTGACAGCATAACAGAGGTACATACTACCAGCCCATGCAAAGTAAAAATACTGAATCACTGTGCTGAATACTTCATTCCTGGAGAAAACCAAAGGCAGCAATACCTAAATCAAGCCCAACAGATGACTAAACTCATTCTCCTCAAAGATTGGTGAGCACAATGAAGTCTGAGGTATACCTTTATCCATTAAATCTGTGTGCCATTGCAAGATATTACCATCTGGGAATACACACCATCACAATGGTTTAAATCTTTTGAATATTAGTCATTCATATATTCTTATCTACCCAGTCTCTTGATTTTTGAAAAGATTTCACCTATAGTAGAATATTACAGAAACAAAATATAAATGCATGTCTTTCTAAATGAAACTTACATGGACTAAAAGTGGAGAATATTTTTAAACAAATATACAATATGCAGGCAGACAAAGCAGGAAAACGGCCATTCAAACGTATAATAAAAAACTAAAAATTGACTATTTCCAGAAAACTAAGAAGCGTCTCAACTAAAAGGAATGCATAATGAAATTCTAATCTAATACAGGTCAAAATGTAAAAAGGTTATAAACCTTAACAGGAAAAATAAAACAACTTTTACTGGCCATTCCTGTTGAAATGAGAATTGTAAAGTAACAGAAAAGTGGCTACAAACCCACTTAGAGCACCAAACAGAGAGAAAATAAAAGTCCATTTTCATCTCTGTTATTATCATAAAATCCTGTGTAACTACAGGTCAAACTGCTGGTGGCAGAAACAGAATTCTTTATAAACTGCAGATGTCCTGTACATAAAAAAATTTCACTGGAGTTGCACTAGTTCTAAAGACTCTTCTGTTTTAGCCTACCTACGGTATGTATGCAATCTTGAGATAAAGTCTCTTTCTGTAACCCTTGATTATTATTGGGCACCAAAGATAAGAAAAGCAAGACAGGGTACAAAAATGCAAAATTTCAACAGTAATGGCAATGTTTTTGTCATAGTCCAAAAGGGTCCTGCATTCTCTCCCCCTTCAATGTTTTGGTTAAGTCTTAATCTGGGGGCAGCAAATCATGCAAGCGAAATCTGTCTCTGATGTGAGGTCGGACATCTTCATTCTGTGTGGGAAAAAGACAGTTTTTTAAAAAGCCAAGTAATTGCCAAGATTTTCTCCTCATAACATTCTTACTTTGCAAAGGAAATGTACTGTTTTAAGACTTTCTATATCCACAGGTTCCACATCTGTAGTTTCAATCACCTTTGAGTCAAAAATATTTTGAGGAAAAATTGCATTTGTACTGAACATGTACAGACTTCTTCCCTTGTCACTGATCCCTACACAATACAGCCCAATAATTATTTACATACCATTTACACTATACTATAAGTAATCTAGGAATGATTTGATATCAGTAGCATATCATGGAATCAGTACCTCAAAAACAGACACCAAGGGATAACTGCATAGGAATAGGCCATCAGCACAATTAATTTAGGATTTAAGAAACACTGAAGGAGACCACTGGTGGGCAGTGAGCACTAGGCTTTAACACCCCAGGTGAAACTTCAAATCACTACATTTTCTCTGAGGTCCCTTCCTACCCTCAAGGAGACACTCATGATTTATGTAGCATGAGATTATCTACCTCCAGCCCAGAAATAACTTGGCCAAAGCCTGTGAAAAGCCCTCTTCCTGTCCTTGGTTTTCCAATGTTCCTGGCCTTTCTATTTGCTTTTCTAATGTATCACTTCTTTATTTCCTTGCATTAAAGATCTTTCCCTAATCATTTGGGACAATTTTAGTACTGATGAATTTTCCTTGAAAAATGACTATGTCTGTCCATGTCTGAAACTCCTAGATCCCATACTGGGGAGTGATCCCAAGGCTTTCACACTAAGCCACATCCATAGCCCTTTTATTTTTTGAGACACTATCTGACTATACTGGCCAGGGTGAGGTTGAATTTGTGATTCTCCTATCTCAGTTTCTCAGACCGCTGAGATTTTAGGCATATTTAAGGATATCTGCGTCTTTAGGGAGACTTTCCTTACTCATTCCTGCTGAGCTCACACTTCAGTCCTACAACAGAACCTCTGTGACTACAGGTAGTAGAAGCACTTAAGACGCCTCTGATCTGAATCACAACTAGCCTCTAGGACCTGCCAACATACCCTCACCCAAAGAATTCCCAACTACTAGCTCACTCTGTAGGTGGCTCTTCTGTCCTTATCATAGGAGGTCACTGAACAGTTTTTCTGGAAAGCCACATGCCCATCCCTCTCATTCAACAACTACAGAGAGGGAGAAACTAAAAACTATATTCTCTTGAAACTAACCCCCGTTGAAAATCAACGGGGCTATCTGTACCTCTGGTTTCTCAGATCAGAGTCAAGCCAATTCTTCTGATAGCCTTGAATAGCATTCTTGGTACTATTTGTGTTTGTACACTTTATTAAAAAGGATGCTAAACAGCATTTTATCTCTTTAGTGTACAATTATAGTCATAGTATAAAAAATCTGTTTAAATGTAAGACTGAGCCTGTTTGATTTCAGCTGTACAATGTTTATTTAAATTAAAAATTCCTCATAATCTTTTTCAATCTTCTCCTTAATATCCTACCAGTTAACTTTAAACATCAATATCCATAAAGCAGATTTTAATATACCTGAGCTAATGAAAACACAACAAAGAAATTCTAAGGTATACTTACCAGTTCTACAAGCTTCTCCAGAAATGGAATCAATTTTAGAAGTTCATTGTCATTCTTATCCATAAACCAGCTTTCTATAGGGATTCCATTAGAAAGCTAAAACGATAAATAGGCAATTAAATTCTCTTTTTACTTGTATTTTGCTTCGTGTGTAAAAGTTTAAAAAGGAACACTAAATTTAAGCAAGTACTCATCTAAAGTTCCTTTGAAAAGGAATGCTACCAGAGTTTTTGCTGACAACTCAATATTGCGAGACAAACGCTTAAGGAAACTGAAGCTGAACTGATTTTCTAGAGTTAGAAACTAGACTTCCACAGAAACAAGTTTTAGAAAAACCATTACCGTAACTAAAAGCATTCTTTTATTCATTCAAGACATAAGTACTATGACTATAGTGCTATGTATTATAAATAAAAGGATATGTTCATCTAAGGCAGAGAATACAATCAGAAACCATATACTTTTTTTTTTTTTTAAACACAGGGACCAAGTCCCATTCATTTGAAATGGGGTTTCACGGTGTTGCCCATGCTGGCCTTGAATTCCTAGGCTCAAGTGATCTTGCCTCACCCTCTCAAACAGATGAGACTAGACAATGCCCGATTACGACTGTTCTATTCTTGAGTCGATGATATGACACTGAAGAATCTAAAAATGTAAACCCTATTTTGTTTTACAGTAATCTCTATGGTAAAATATCTACTCTAAAATTTAGGCTAAATGATATGTCTGAGATAGAGGATAATGGAAATGATTTTTATCTAGGAACCAAGATGAAGTTTTTTTGTTTTGTTTTGAATCTGGCTATTTTGCCCAGACTGTTCTCAAACTCTTGGGCTCAAACAATTCTCCTGTCTCAACCTCCCAAGCATATGAGACTGCAAGTACATTTCAAGGCACCCAGCTGTCTCTCTTTTTTTTTTTTTTGTCTTTTTCCTTTTTATTGGTACCAGGGATATTGGTACGACTGCTTGCTTGCAAGGCAGGCACTTATGCCGCTGAGCTAAATCCCCAGACCCCACCCAGCTGTCTTATAAACAGTATTTTTAAATGTGAGTAAATAAAACTAGGGATCTAGGGCTGGGGATGTAATCCAGTGGTAGAGCATATTTTAGCATACACAAAAGTTCTGAAATCAATAACCAGCACTCCCCACCACAAGGTGGGGACCCAAGGTAAACATATTTCAATACCATACAGGTTCCCCTACCCTTTTTAAAGCTATGGACAAAGTTAATACATTAGTCCCTATTCTGCAATGATTTATTGTGAATCAAATTTCAGAAATTGTATTTCAAGGATGGTTCATCTTTAGTTGTAGTTATATTTCAAAGAAGTATTTTTAAAAAGGTACAAAATCCTGACAAAGTAGTTTAAAAAATTATTATCAGAATGTTGAGTAGACTACAACACAGATAAGCCAATTATAATTCTTAACATGTTTACAATCAAACTACTGAGTAACTAAATGATACACTATCTTGGCAATTTTGTCTTCACATTTTTCCCAGTCTGAGTTTACTTAGCAACTCTCTTCCTACCTGATATGCAAAGGCTTGTGGTGAGTTGTCAATTATTATGGTTTTTGAAAGATCCCTTCCGAGGATATTTAAGTCCTTTATATAATTTCCTTGTACACAAACACAATGTTCTCGAAAAAGCCGGTGCCTAAATATAAAAATAAAAATAAATTTACTAAAAAATTTCTAAAAACTACTTATATCAAAAATAGTATATGCATACGTATACCACGGTTTTACAGGGTAAGTCTTATTATTTTCTCTCACAGAGGAAATTCAAATACAAATACTGGGCCTATGCTTTGAACAACAGTGTAACTACAAAAATTCTTAGCAATTATTGAAACCTACAATCAAATATTACCATGCCTTAAAGAACTTCGGTTTAACACAAAATGTTATATTAAATTATAAAAAGGGACTAAAATTGTAATTTTTGTGATTTACCCACTCAGCAAAGCTCAGGTCAGAGGCAGCATCTGGTTGTCAGTGAGGTCCTGCCGTTTTTTTTTTTTTTTTTTTTTTTGGGGGGGGAGGGTACTGGAAATCAAACTCAGGACCTTGAGCTTACCAGGCAAGCGCTGTGCCACTGAGCTATATCCCCGGCCCGGGTCATGCTTTTTAACCAGTTTTCCAGATGGCTGAGGCCCAAGGAGGTAAGTGACTTGCCCAAGGTCACACAGTAAGTCAGGAGTTAGCTCCAAACTGCAACTCACAATCCTCCTAGCTCCTAATCTTTTGCTCTGAACAGTAGGCTACACAACCTCCCTAGCTCTGTACATGCCGTTAATAGAAAATGTAAGAAGGAAAGTTTTTGTGTTGGCTGTATTAAAACAAATTTTTTAAAATTTTCCTTAGTTTCTGAGAAAAAGTGCTGCTGAGGCCAAACATTCCATCATTTCAACTTTTCCTAAACCCTCATTTCCTTTAATTTAAACATGTATATGAAAAATGGGTTAAAGTGGTATTCAGATTTAAATTCAAAGAAATGTAAACTGACATTTCACCAATTTTAGAAACTAGACAAAATAATTTACAATACTTATAGTAATGCAATTCCCATTTATAGTCAAAATATTAGTCTCTGAAGACTGATTTTTTTTGCCTTGAAATACAGTGTATACTTTAATCATTCAGTGTATACTTTAATAATTGAAAGTTTGTTTTCTATGTTTCTTACCTCAACTAACGATTTTTCAGAATGCAAAAATTACTCAGACTTGTACTTTTTAATTATGCACTTTCAAGAAAGGAGTATTTTTTAATCACAAAATCTGTCACAGCTCACTCAACAAAAATAGATGAAAATCTTCATCCCTTCCCCACACATACAAACTCAACCTTTTTAAAAAAATGTTAAGAGTCAATAGTAATGGCAAAAAGGAAAAGCTATACAGAGAAAATGTATAAATAGTTCTTCCTTTATTATAAGGAATATCTTTAATTGGTGAAATGTTTTCCTTCTTCTTGAAGGCTGAAAAGATGGTTCTACTTTGAAAAAATGACAGTAAATAGTTTATTTCTATAAACAGATACGATGAAATTAGAGAGGTACAATATGTAAACACAAGTCACTGTTGACACCTCGTTGCCAATAGTGGCAGATTCATTCAGACAGACAACTATGTATGTAGATAGTACAATTAATTTAATTACACTAAAAAATAAAAAAATAAATTTAATTACACTAAAAACTGCCCTGTTATTCAGGAGTCTGAGAGTCAATAGTATGTGTCTGAAGTTTAAGAAAAAAGGCTACTTCATTCTAACTATGAAACAGAAGTTGTTCTATGTCAACAAACTTGCATTTCAATTCATGGGATGCAGAGATTATACAGCAACTGCCTAGTCTACCTGGTTACTATAAATTAATTCCTTGGGGCTCGGGATTTAGCTCAGCGGCATAAGCACCTGCCTTACAAGCAGGCGGTCGTGAGTTCGATCCCTGGTACCAATAAAAAAAAAAAAAAAAAAAAAAAATTCCCTACAATATTCTTACTGAATTCATATCTACTGTCCAAAAACTTTTCTTAAGTTTTTAAAGTTGCAACTAGGTAAATTTAAACACTCAAATGTGTAAATTTAGCTTTAAAAGTGTATGTTAATTTAAAATAATACCACAACTATGACTTATTCTCCAGTAAAATGAAAGCTCCAAGAGGGAATCATTCGTGTTGCTCACCACTGTTCCCTGGATCACTGGACATGCTGAACAGAAATCTTTAGAATGAAGGAAGTCATCAAAGCAAATCACTTGTACAGTTTTATTAAAGTCAGGTAAAAGTGAATATAAGTTGCAATATACTTTTATGAATAGAAAATACCATTTCTCAACCAGGTGTGATGGTACAAGCCTGTAATTCCAGCACTCTGGAAGACTGGGGCAGGAGATTTCAAGTTCAAGCCCAGCCTGGGCAATTTAAAGACCCTGTCTCAAACTACAAGAAATAACAAATGGGCTGAGGCTGTAGCTCAATGCAAAGGTCCTGGATTCAATCCTCAGTACCACCCAAAAAAGGAAAACAAAAGGCACGTTTATATGTTTACAGGTTACTTTTTTCTATTAGACAGGCACTTACTATGTAGTACAGGATGGCCTTGAACTCACTTATGTAGCCCAGGATGGCGGCCAACTCACAACGATCTTCCTGCCTCAGCCTCCTGAGTGCTGGGATTACAAATGTACGCCATCACACCCAGCCTGAAAGAGTTCTTTTTTGGTGGTGGTGGGGGGGCCGCAGTTGGGGGAATCGAACTCATGACCTTGCGCTTGTCGGGCAGGTGCTTATGTTGCTGAGCTAAATCCCCAGCCCTGAAAGAGTTCTTAGGAGTAGAAAGTTTAAGATTTTTCACTAAGACAATTTATGGGGGAAAGTATTTAAGAAAATACATAGCTATTAAAGTCTTTATGAGCCTTCTGTGCCATCTCTCTCTGCTCATAGTCAAAAATTCAGACTAACTCCAACATGTTATACACAGCAAGATTACTGCAGTCTATACGGAAGTCTCACTTCAATTGAAAGAAATAATAGAAGTAATTTTCAAAATGTTTAAAAATTATCCACACTCCTGCATAACAAGGAATACACTGTATCTGCTGGGCAAACACAAGGAACTAAGCCCAGATCAGGATAACCTGAGTGACTACAACAATTTTATTTTCCATTTAGATTCATGTAACATTTTCTTTGACATGGAAGATAAATTTGTTCTTTAAAAAAGCCAAATAAGCCAGGCGTGGTGGTGCATGCCTACAATCCTAGAAATTAGGACACTGAGGCAAGAGGATTATGGTGAGTTTGAGGCCAACCTAGGTAACATAGGGAGTTCAAGGCTGTCCTAAACTATATACCGAGACTCTGTCCCAAATAAGTTAAACAAAATAAAACAAAAAAATTTATTTCCATTAAAAGGTCAGATAACATGTATTATCTTAGAGACATAAAGAGGTAAAACACTAAATACACATTTTCTTCCCACCCAATTCCAGAAGAAATGATACAGATGTCACAGAGAATAAATACACTTAAATCTTTGTATCGTTTAAAGGATGTCTGTTTATACAGCTATAGAATTACAATTAGGAACTCTTTATAGAGTTTTGGAATTTAAAAATTCATTTATTTTTATCATCCAAAACAGTAAATATATATACAACTCACCAAAACTGAATCATAGTAATTTCAATTATAAATCATAACTTCATAAATCAGTATGACAAACATTTCTACTATTTCTTAATTAAATTTACCTGACCAGTTGCTTTTTAGGGTCTAGTATGTTCAGTAACTTGTCTGCATACACCTTCTTAGAAGCAGTAAAAAGAATGATCTAAAAATTCAGGAGAAAAATAAGTAATCATTATACATGATCTAAATATGGCTATTAAATGAATAAGTAAAAATACATATGTAATTAGCTTAAGCACATTTACCTCATACATCTGAGACATACGCTCCAGGAATTCCCTGAAGAATGGTCTTAATCTCACATAAACCTGAAAAAACATAAAGACAGTTTTAGCAAATAAACATAAAATGGAAACCAGTTATTTTAAGGTGTGGTGTGCTTTAAGTTTAGGTATAATTTAAAACTTGGCATTTTAAAAAACAGAAATGTTTATTAAGTATCACTCCAATCAAATTTCACATATAAGAAGTTACTTAAAACAATCTTTTACTGGGATGGTAATAATAATCACAAGTGGTCATTTCACTTTTAATAGTTAAATAAAAGCATATGATACTTCACTGATACAATTTTAATAAACAGTTAAACTAAACATAGTAGGTGGTTTCCTTCTGCGATTTTGATCCACCAATCATCTCCATCTTCCAGCCAGGTAGGGTCCATCCAGTTATTAGGTGGTCTGCATGTCACCTCTAGCTGACCTGTCTCAATGACCTTCCTCAATAAATACTCAGAATTTCCTTTTTTTTTGTACCGGGATCGAACTCACGACTGTGCACTTGCAAGGCAGGCGCTTATGTTGCTAAGCTAAATCCTCAGCCACTTTTTTTTTTTTAGAATTTCCTTTCAACAATCACCTGCTATGAATAGGTTTCTTTTAAATTTCTATTAAGGTAAAAATACTCAAGAAAAAAAAGTCTGGATTGGCAGGTTTAAATACAATTTTTCAGAAAACTTCTACATTTTAATAATTCTTATGTAACATCTAAATTAGCACTACTGTGTTAGGATTATAAAAGTATGTAACAGTCAAACAAAACAGTTCTCAAAAACCTAGTGATTAACATCAGACAAGGCTAGAATATCCAAAGAACTGTCTTATATGCTATCTTACTGCTTCTTATCATTTAGTATTGTTACTGTTATAGACTCGAGTATTCAAAAAGAACAGAAATAAGCTATGAGCAACCACCAAAAACTATTTACCAAAGATTTTGGCCCTTTTAAATTATTCATTTTTTTGTCTTTTTGAGACAGGTCTCACTATGCAGTTCAGGCTGACCTTGGGCTCACTTTGTAGCCCAGGCTGGTCTCAAACTTGCAATGATCCTCCTGCCTGAGTGCTAGGATACAAGAGTGCACCATCATGCCCAGCTAATTATCTTATAAAATTTTATTAGAAGAAAAATTCTGTACTCCATTAAAAGATTTAACTTCAGATACTATGAATAACACATTATTTCCAGATGCAATGGATTTTCATTTAAAAGGGGAAAAAAACGTGGTAGCTAAAAATCAAATTTATGTTTAGTAACATTTAATTGTGGCAGCAACATAAAAATCTTCCCACAACAAAAATCCCATTTCCAAGAATGTTTTGGAGCAAAACAGGGAAAGTGTGCAAAAGATACTCAAGAGGCAGAACAATGTATTACTAATCTTTATAATTTACAAAGACCAAGAGACATAAGACAATGCCAAATATAGAGCAGACATCTGATGAAAATCAAGTGAAACAGAACTGCCTGAAGTTAGGCAATACAGACAAATACAAATAAGCAAATCAATACGACTACACAAGTACACTACTGAATTAACTGAATCCTTACAGAAGGCATATGTTGATTATCACTGTGTTAATGTAACTCATCATCTAGGCTTGATTCTTTTTTTTTCCTCTCATTAGTCAGGCATTTTATCTTAATTCCATGAAAAATCAAAAACAAAGTGAGCTCTATAACTTTTCCTAGCAAATAAAAATAATCAAATTCTTAGTACCTAATCATGTTATCTAGGATGAGATATGAAAAAAATAACAATAGCTGCTCTCCTAACCAACTCTTTTGTTCTGTCTTAAAATATTTGGTACAGTTTGCAGCCTTGGTTGAAAACCAAGCATACCATTTTTGTTTGGTAAGCCAAATAACGATATTTTAGTTAATATTACATTTCACTGGCAAAAAAATTATCAATCTTTTAAAAACAGATCTATAATAACCAAAAAAATCATTCTGCATGTTTTATTTTTAATATCCTTTTGTTCTGTATAGTAAACTAAGAGCCTCTGTAATTTGTGATTTGTTTCCTCTCCCTATAACACACTTCCACTGCAGAAAATATTTCTACTTAAACTATATTTTCCAAGAATAAAAAGTGGAACAGTGTTCAAAAGTGACATTTTCAAGCTTGGGGTTTAACTCACTGAAACAGTGCTTATCACCAAGAAAAGTGACATTTTTCAGTTTCCACGGTGACTTTCAGTATAGGTCAAAGGTATAACTTAATCATGCATTCTACTGTATTTAAATGACATATTTATTTATTCTCCCCTTCCTCTGCAGTGCTGGAGATCAAACCCAGGGGTTTGTGCACACTAGATGAGTGCCCTAAAACTAAGCTACAACACTACCATACATCTTGAAATTTGAAGCTACTTTAGAAAGGTATAACAAAATAACAGTGAAAAGTCTGGAAATTAGGGCTACATGGAGCTGTGTCATGTGATACAAAGGCAAATCTCAGAAACACAAAGATGAACATACAAGACCAGCGAAGTCTTAAGTCATTTGATATATTAAGTCTGTGCAGAGATATATACAAGTCAAGAAGCATTAGCATGTATAACACAGTTTAATTCTTGAGACTATCATTACTCATTGTGTTGAGTCATAAACATATGGATGTACACATAAGTATCCTCTGAATGCTTTAAAATTTATTGCACCAATGCCTTTGTCTCCATTTTTCTTCTTATTCTCAAAGATTCTTGACTTGAGCAGCTTACTTCCCATTTTCTACCAACCATCTTTCAAACTTACAACTTTAAACTATTCAGTCCTAATAGACTACCAAGATTCACTGCATTACTTCCAAATCTACCGTAACTATTCTATCTATATTACAAGGAGTTTAAAATTCTTCTCAGTAAACCAAATATACTTTCGGGTTTTTTTTTTTGTTGTTGTTGTTCTTTTTGGTTTATTGAGACATGGTCCTACTATGTGCTTCAGGCTGAACTTGAACTTGCAGCAATTCTCCTGCCTCAGCCTCCTGAGTGCTGGGATTAAAGGTATGTGCCACCATCCCTGGGTCTCAATAAACCAAATATATTTTGAAAAATAAATTGCAAATTTTAAATAATGATTTAGTTGGGTGTGGTAGTGTACGCTTGTAATCCCAGCACTTGGGAGGCAGGAGAATCAGAAGTTCAAGGCCAGCCTGAACTACACAGTGAGACCTTGCTTTAAACAAACAAACAAACAAACAAACCTTATTGCTGCAGTAAGAAACAACTGTGACATACAAATACTACTGGGATGGGGATACAGCTTGGCGGCACAGTGCCTGCCTGGCAAGTGTATGGTCCTGAGTTCAATTTCTGATACCAAACCAAACCAACCAAAATCAAATCTGACTACTACCAGAAGATAGGAACATGTAAACATGTTCATTATGCCAAACTTACTTTCTTTTTTTCCCTTAAAGTAATAGGGATTGAACCAATTGTACATGCTATCATTGCACTATGCCCTCAGTCCTTATGCCAAACTTTAAAAGCAAAAACTGGTCCGTATCTGCAAAATACCAATAAACGCTAGTTTTGTATAACCTGTTACACTATTGAAATTTTAATTTCATATAGAAACAATGGGAGCTGGGTTTGTGGTGCATGTTTGCAATTCCAGCACTCAGGAGACTGAGGCACAAGGATCATAGCAAGCTTGGGGCCAGCCATGCTACATAGTAGGTTCAAGGCCAGCCTGAACTACATAGTGAAACCCTGTCTCAAAAACAAAACAAAAACGAAATACTGGATATATTATTTTTAAAATGTTACATTAATAGTACATTAGCATTACCTGACTAACTGCTTCTAATTTCTAAATGTTTATCAACAATAATAACAGGCCACTAATGGTTAACAGAACTCGATTAAATGAAAGTAGTCCTGATATATAAATTCATTTACAAGTTCATTATAAATAGTGTAGTAGGGGCTGGGGATTTAGCTCAGCGGCATAAGCACCTGCCTTGCAAGTAGGTGGTCGTGAGTTAGATCCCCAGTACCGATAAAAATGAAAAAGACCAAAATAAAAGGAGTAAAGTTCATTTAACTTAAGTCAACTAAATAATTTCTGTTATGACCAAACCCTGATCTCTATCATAAGAATCTAAAATCCAAAAAAGAAAACCCTACAAAGATAAGCAGTTTCAAACTGAATGCAAAAGCCTAGAAAAAAAAAAATTTTACCTGTGATTTTATAAGTATTTCTAAGTTGATTTTAAGCCCTGACAATATGGTTTCAACATTAACAAAGAAATCTCTTTGATACTCTCTGCTATCTTTTGAACTTAGTGCTATATAATAGCAATAGCAATAGGTCTTAAAAATGGTAAATTCAAGGACTGGTGATATAGCTAGAGGTAGAGTGCAGGCTTCAGCATACACAGGGCTATGGGTTCAGTCATGCAGAGGGACATGGGAGGGACGACAACACAAAGGGAACAGGCGACACATAACTGGAGCAGGAGAAGGAGCAAGAGTTTGAGGTTAGCATGGGCTACATAACAATTCTAAGGCTAGCCTACATTACAAAGGGAGAGCCCTTTCCTTTAAACAAAAACATGATTAGTGAGTGCTATTATTTAAACAGCAAAAAAAAATTAAAGCAAAGCAAATATACAAAGCTAGAGATTGTGAAAATGAAATGTTATTTGCAACTGGTAGACACATAGGTATACAAGTGGTTCTGACAACTAACCTTCTGGACATCGTAGTTTCCTTATTTATGAAAGGGATATAATGGTACCTATTTCACAGTGCTACTGTGAGAAGTTACTACATACAATGCATTCGAAGAGTGCCTAGCACATTTAAAGTGCCAGGAGCTGTTAGCTACTATCATTACCCCACCCCATTAAAAGTAACCAGTAAGGAGAACAGTTCAAGTCAGTATAATTCTACATGGCAGAATTGGATACCCTCAATTCCAAAAGGTCCTACACCTCAGTACCTTGGTTCATGAACGTTTCTGTTTACAAACAATTTGGTTCACGAACAGAAGTGTTTGGCGAAATTTTGTTCTT